TGGGCCTAGTAAGTCCCTTTAAAGAATGCAAACTTACATTAAAGACAATTACATCAGAGACAACAGCACAGTCTCTGAAGCTCCGCACTGGTCAAATTCTTCCTTCCCTGACCTTCTACATCTTCCCCTACAGATTTCTTACCAATGTGTATGTCAGCTTCCCCACTGGTTAGTAGGTTCTTATATGGCAAGAACCATTTCTTCCTGATCTTTGTTTCCTTGTTTTTAACATACGTTCTCTCCCAGAACCCAGATTTTACTAAATGCATTAAACTGAATCTCTGGGGTGGTAGCTCAGAGTCACCCAAGATGTGACAGAGCCCATCTACTCCACACCCCACCATAGGAGCATTATGAAATTTCAAAGCTTCTGGCTGTCGTGATGTCATAGAACGTTAACTGTCACCACAGCCAGGATGTTCTGCACAGTACTGACACAGACCTATATTACCAATGATAATTATTATGGCTCAGAGAAAACAGATCTTTTCCACCAAATCACACTACTTTGGTGGGTAAATGAGATGGATGATTAAAGCTTGCCAGGTCCAAAATGGTGGCTTTACTGGGCTATAGTGCCTCCCCAAGAAAAAAGCTGAACTGTCCTGTCCTTGGCCCATGTGTATTGCTTGACCTGTGCCACTGATGAGACCATGGGGTGATTCATGGCTGAGTCAAGAGCAAGGGGATGAAAGTCAGGGGTGACAGGATACATGGCCCCTGTTAGTGCCCATATATGAGTGGGCTAGACAAGTATGCCATGGTGAGTGGGCTAGACAAGGACTAAGGAACATCTTGCACATAATGGACATTCGAAATTCTGATGACTGAGGGCATGAGCATGAGAGGTCAGAGTCGAAGATCTGGCTAGAATCAGCAAAATAGAATGGAATACCTGACAGACTGAGTGTGGAAGAGTTGTGGAAAGGCCCAGGCCTGAGGCAGGCAGGGGAATCAGAGAAGAGACAGTAACTCAGGACACCACGGCCACAGAAGCTTAGGAAGGAAAGTGCTCAATGTAGGAGGTCATCAGGACAGAAATCCTAGGAAAGTCAGCAGAACTTGGCTGAAAGGAGAAAGAGAAGGATATATGTTGTGCAGTGAGCTTCTCCACATAGGTTCAGATCTCTACCCTGCTGTGTGTGATGTGACTTACTCTGAAAGCTTCCGCTTCCTGACCTCCACATGAAGAGTATTAACTGACAGGACTCACAAAAGTGCTTTACCTCCGGTTGGAAATAAGAAAGGTCCCTGTTACAATTGTTTGGTGGTTATAGTAATTGCAAATGATAACATTTAAGAAGAATACATTAGTGTGGGGTGGAAGGGGTGAAGAGGAAGATGCAAACCTGACTGCAGGAAGGTAAGCAGAGTCAAAGAAATGATGGGTATAGATCTCTTTGCTGAATAATTAGATAATGAAATGAAGTTGAAAAATCCAGTGATTGAGCCAGTGGTGTCTTTAAGAGAAAAAAGGCAAAGGAAGGTTGGCAAACAAAAGAGAGGGGCTGGTAGAGATGGGGAAAATTAGCCAACCTGAGGGGGAGGGTAAAAGCTGGGAGCAGGTCTAACCTTGGATAAGGGTGCACTACACAGGATAAGGGAGCCCTGCCTGCCTCTGCTCCACCACCAGCCTCCTCCTATAAAATGAGGTTGTCAGGTCTTTAGGAAGCAAAGCAAAAGAACCGTAGAAGTCTGGAAGACCAAGTTCTGATGCTGACACAGGCCACTTGTACCTGGCTCAGCTTTGTCCTTGCTAAGCCCTTGTTTCCCAATCCATAAATAAAGTGGCTAGACTCATCCTGTGTGACTCTGTAGACACATCATCTCATTAAGGACTCTGCAGTATTTTTGCTTCTGAAGTTCCTCTTCATGTTCACTAGAAGGAAAAGGGGAGAAGAAATCTGAGTTGAAGCTATCACTTCCTCCACAACTGGGACAATATTTCTGTTTCACACATAAAGTTAGCAAATCCAACAATTCCATCCTTACTGGCAGATCTCTGATGAGCCTGCTGGTGTTTTAAATAGCATGTGCACTTTGTCCTGGTGCTGGAAAGAGGTGAGGGAGCAGCAGGAGGGCCGTGCTGGGCTAAGTAATGCTGTTGATGAGCCACTGGATGGCTGCAGGCTTCTGCATCCTCAGAAATAACAACAATTACTATACACGCCACAATCTGTCATCCAAGTCAGCAAATGCATCAGCTGCTGGTTATTTTGATACCCTGAATGAAAAGCTCTTTCGAGCAAATGTAGTGCAATGAAACATTCTTATCCTCTGCTTGTCTGTACCATTTCTTCTTGCCATTGCTCTCTCTACTGTTTTCATTCTTATAAATAAAGCTGCTCCAGTCCTATGACCCTTTTGTAAATGAGCCAGGAGAAAGAGTTCTGTTTGAGTTCTTCATGAAAGTGGAAAAGACCAAAGTAAAGGCACCCAGTTATGGTCTCTGGGCCCTCGCTGGCCTGATATGGAATCTTATGGCAGCCAATTCAATATGAATGGGTTTTCTGACAGTCACAAATGACAGTGACCATCAGCGGATTTCTGGATTGCCACTATGAGCCAGATTCTAGGGAAGGACCTGGGAGACTGTGATATGCATGGTCAGAGTCTTATAATCAAGCCATCACCGGAATACAATTCTCTGACAATAGGTACCATACCCCACAGTACTCTACATAAAGTAGGCTCTCAACATATAATCTTTGAAGTTTTTGTTTCTTACTCCAATTTACTCAAGACATTTCAAATTTAGAGACAGAAACAGATCTAGTTAAGAATGGAAAGGAACTCTTATTAAACCAACATGTGCCATAAGAATATGATCAACAGTTTGGGGGTGGGGCATGTAGACTTAGATTCTGCTTACTTCATTTTTAAATTCCCCTTTTACATACCACATGAAAAAGAACCACAAATGCCTCAAATCCTTTTGTCCTTCTGGGTGACGCCACAAGGACACAGAAAAAAGCCCTGTATTTAACAGCCAAATTCTGTTCTTTTTTATTTTATTTTATTTATTTTTGTCTTTTTTGAGACAGGGTCTCACTATGCAGTTCAGGCTGCTCTTGAGCTCACTTTGTAGCCCAGACTCATCTCAAACTCGTCTCTCTGCCTCAGTCTCCCATGTGCAAAGATTACAGGCGTGCACCACCACACCCAACTATTAAATTCTGTTATTCTAAAATTTTTAATTTCATTTCTAAATTCTTAGTCAATCATTATGTAAGGCTAGGAGTTGGGCTTTCATAACAAATTTATTACATGCATGACATGATTGATGAATGAATTTGTGCTATTGTCTGGAAATTCCTTTGTTTAATTGACAGTGATAAATTTCCTAACAGACCACCATTACTATGATGTTACTTTGTAGAACTTTACTTTTTTTATGGGGTCCCCTAGCCTCTTGCCCTCAGATCTAAATTGTGTACATTTGTCTACCTGTTTCTGAAAAAATCTAGATGTAGACTTAGGAAAGCTAAAGCTGACCAGGGCTTTCTTCATACTTAATCCCTCTCAGAGCATGCACAAATGGGATAACTGTAGGTACAAGGACAAAGGTAGAAAAGAAGGCAGAGACTGAAGACAAATATGAGTCCAGTATCTGGGCAAGGATTCTTTGCTCAGTTTTTTCTCATGGTGTGTGTGTGTGTGTGTGTGTGTGTGTGTGTGTGTGTGTGTGCGTGTGTGTGTGACATTTATACTTGTAACAGAATTACCATGTCTCACTAAATCACTGCACCAGAGAGGGTGCCCTGAGTTATACTGGCTTCACCAGCAATGAGGATACTCAGTGCTTCACCACCTCTGTTACTCTCCCAAATTTATTCTTCACTGTGGCATTTATGCTGGGTAGAGTTTCAACATGCCTTTCGAAAGGAAAAAGTGAAAGGCATATGGCAAAGTCAATAAGGGGAGGGATGAAGTGTAAATTTTCAAGAACCCTTGAATAGTATCATAATTACTAATGCATATATTTGGTGACAATTCTGAGATATATTTCTACCTTGGTATTTTGGAACTGGAGTGCAAAGAGCTCAGGTCAAAAGGCAGGCCTAAGTCAGGCAAACCCCACCATCAGGCTCTGAATTCACTAAACCCAAGAAATCTTGGTGGCCCACCTGGAAATCCCACTTCAACTAAGATCCACACAGTATAGATAATAAAGAGAGATTTGGGTTGGATCTGAGGCCTCGGACAGAAGACTCACTGATCAGTATGGAATCACAGACACGTTACAAAGTTGAGGAAAGCTGTAAATCCTAAACCCAGAAACACATGCATATCGCACACAGATGCACAAATTCACTTACACTATCAGAGGGATCAGGAACTCAAGGAAGCCCCAGAATCCAAGGTCTTAAATTAAGGCTGGTAGGGGAGGTACAGGCTGTCCTGCTGGTAGTGTCTTCTGGGTTTTAATCCCAGCTGGACTGGCTCCTAGGGGGAACCTTCTATCTGATTCTGATCTGGCAGTCACCATGCTCCCCTGTGTTAAGAAGCCCTGGCATCTTCTCATGGGGCTCCCTCCTTGCTGGTTTAGCTGCCTTTGGAGCAGCTGATGTGCAGGGCACCAAAAGCAACACAGGCATTCTTGGAAGGCACTGGAGGCAGGTAGAGCAAGGAGGGCAGGTCAGGGAGGTAAGGGGAGCCCCAGGCAACCTCTCCTAGCCCCAGTCTGTGGACCAGTCTTGGACTTGGGGCCTTGCCTGGCCCCCTATGCTCAAGAAAATCCCCTTCTGATCTAGGTGCGCTTCTCTTTGACTTCTGTAAGTTTGAAGTTCCTGGCAGGATCTGGCCAGCCCTCTCAGGAACTACTATGCCCAGGACTCCCTACAGTTGGGCTTCTCCTCTGGGCTACTGCAGGTGTGGGACAGGACTGGGGTTGGTTGTGGGAAGGGGAGCAGAGGGGTGGGGTGGGGTCAGGATTTGGAGAGGGTGTGGCTGACTCAGGGGGAGGGGCTAAAACGTTCAAGAAGCCTGTTTCAGCAGCTCGGGCACAGCAGAGAGCGACGGGAGCGGAGGGGAGCGCATCGGTGAGTAAGGCTGCCGGGAGCCCGGCTTCGAGAGGGGGGCAGTGGGCGCCGCAGGCCAGGGTGGATGGGCTCCCTGAAACCGTGTGCATGGATCCTGTTCTGGCGCGAAGTCCGGGAATGGGTACTGGCGATGACCCCTCATGGTGAAACGGAGCCCTGAGAGGAGTGTTTGCAGTGAGGGTCTGGAAGGAGACCCTCGGCAAGAGGCGGGCAAGACTGAAGGAGCATCTCTCTGGTTGCACAATTCCCGGGTCGCCGGATAGCCGGACCTCGGGGGCCAACCCTGGCGCCGGCAGAAGCTGCACTGACTTGCTGGAGAGGACTCGCTCCTGAGCTAGCAGGGGACAGTGCGCAAGTGAGGGAGAGCGAATGTGTGGAGGTAGGGATGCCCGGTCTGCAGGGCTGGCAGAGTGGTGGCTCGCACCGCGGCTGCGAGCACAAGGCTCCAGGGCTGGGCACTGGGCGGACTCCGCAAAGTGCTGCTCTGCCCCTCTTAAAGGCACGAGGCAGCAGGTAGGGCGTGATAACTTGGTGCAGGGAATGCAATACGGGTCTTGGGACTTCTCCGCTTGTCACAAAAGGACTGGGAGTCACAATTCGGCACCGAAGGTGGACACGGGGAGCTCCCCGGCCAAGTGCAGGGGTCCTGTGTAACCAGGACCCCCGCGGAGCCTGCTGGACAAGCATGTCAAGTCGCCAGGGCTCAGACCTGTTATGCTTGTCCCTGGCTTTACATCCAGCTGTCCGTTGCCAGGTGTCGGAGAAGCTGACACAGAGACTTGGGGCAGGTAACGCTGTGGGTCAGGCAGGGAGGCAGCAGCAGAGGGAGAGAGAGGCCCTCGGGAGTTAGGCAGCTGCAGCTCAGAGTGGACGTCGTAAACACGCGGCTTAGCTCCTTTTCCATACCAGGCTCCTGTTTTGAAAAAACTCTCTGAAAGATTCGTGTAAGAGACGTTTACTGCTAGAACTTTCTCTTCTCTTGTGACTTGAGAGGTGAAAAAAGGAGTATGCTTGCTCGGCTGGTTTTACCAAGTTGTTTCAGGCTGGAAGTCCTAACAATTTGAAGGATAATTTATGGGTGTTTCTTGCATTAAAGTGTATTACAGCAAAGCCTTTGGGTGCTGTGGGTATTAAGGAAAACTTAGTGCATGTTCCCAGTTGGAAACCAAAATAGTGCTCTCCTGGGTGTCTCAGCCCCATCTGTCATGTGAGGCCAATAAAAATTCTGGAGAAAAAGCATTTGATTAATTGTCCTGGCTCCATCCTCTGGGCGCACCTATTGCCAGTGCCAGTTTCTGCTTCCTGACCCGTGCATGGCCAGCTGTATTCTGCAGAATCAGGAATGGTAGTAAAGGGCCCACTTTTCTCCACTGCTTTGTGAGGCTTCAAGCTGTCAGACTGCTGGAGGGGACTATTTTCCCTTCTGAAAGCAGTGCATGACTGCTTTGATTCGTATAAGAGACGTTTTGGCCCCTGCCAGCCCTTCTTGCCCAGCGTTTACAAGTTTCTACCAAATGTCTGAAACTTTTCCTCTCTGCATAGTCACAGCAGGAAGGCTAACTTAGACCTGACATACCTAATCCGTTAAATAAGTCAGATGTCCAGCTGGGGAATTTCTGGCAGTGACCTGCAGAATAAATGAATATTCATCTCATTAGGTAGTTAGTTGGAAGGGGATGGAGTTAAAGTAATCTTCAGACATATTCCTCCCTCCCTCTTTCCCTAACATTTTTATTTTAGGTGAAAAAAAGGGGAAACCTTGAAAAGAAAAATGTTAGAAGGTGCTACAAGTGGGAATCAAACTCTGGGGCATAGGACGTATGATGTGACAGAACTGCAGGAGTACCTCAGGGACTTTATAACTAGCTGTTGGACCTACTGTCATCCCTGGGCTGCCATCTTGCCAAAGTGGCCCAAGCCAACAGAGAGTGGCATAAATGGGTCTATCAGTTATCCTACTGTTAGTGGCCCTTTCGCTACTTTTAACTCTTAGCAAGAAATGAGATTGTTACCTTCTTCTATTGCCCACTCCATAACTCCTTTGCCTCAAGGGTCAGTGGGAGCAAAGGATGCAGCTCCTCTCTCCCCATTCTCTTCCAGGAAGAAATCTATACCTAGGCCAGGAAGGGGGCCTCAACTGCTGACATCAGCAAGGAGGGAAGGGCATGGCAGGGCAGGGCTGGAGCCTGAGGGAAGTTTCTCATCATTGCTGAGATTATACTGATGAGAAAATCATACAACTTTACTTTAAATGAGTGTTGAGCATGATGACTGCTCACCCATGCAGTGTGCTGTTGGAGCATGGAGCTGCACATGGGCTGCAAAGAAATTCTCCTTTATGCACAGGCCGCACGGCCAAGGCCCAGGCTCTCAGCAACATTGAAGCCACTCTGAAGATGCGCACATTCTCTGTGCTCTCAAGAAGCAGTGGGAGTTTGGCTGAGAGTTTGCTTAATTAAAAGTCTCTGGATATCTGTGAGCAAACAACCCATCTTTCCAGAACATGTTTCTTGACTGGCACTTCTGTTCTTGCCCAGCTCTTAGGTTTAGCCAGTCCTGAGATATCAGCTCATGGAAGGCCAGTTTCAGAGGACAGTGAATGGACAGTAACATGGGCCCATAAATGAGGATAAGACCCTTTTCCAACCTACTCCAACATAACTGGCTTTCTAAAAGTGGGGAACAGTTGAGATCTTTCCTCCTAGTAGCAGTGAGACTAAGGTTGCCCCTGAAACTAGTATGCAAATAGAGAAATTGGGACTTTGGGGCCATGGACTTTCAGTTGGGTGGGCACAGACATGTAAGTGCTTCTGTTAGAGCTAAGGAAAATACTTTCAACTAAACTTTAAACAAAGTTTAGTTAAGACCTGAAAAAAATAAGAACATAGAGTAGAGGAGATTTTTCTCTTGGTTTATGATGCTTTCATTGTTCTGCTATGGGTGACATTACATGCTTTGAGGCATTTCTATAAAATATTGGCATTACTCTTGACATAGTGGGAATCTGATAAAAAAAAACTTGTGACAATCTCTTGATATTTTTCTTTGTATTTTAAGTAAACTTTCTATGGTGGTTTTCTCTGTTTTGAGAAAGAGGAAAATTAGTTTTATTGACTCTGACAAAGTTACTCTGCTTCTCAAGAAATCTGTAAGACATGGTATGTATGTTCTATTAATATTGTTTCTCAAAGAGGCAATTGACATTTCAGAACAATCCTTGGTTAAGTGTAACCAACCTGCACGGTGCAAAAAATTTAGTATTCTTGCCTCATCTACCAAATGTCAGAAGTTTTGGTGACAGCCAACTATATCCCCATTTTGCAATAAATGTTTGTTTTAAAAAATAATGCAGCTCCCAGTTAAGAATTTCCATGGAAATTATCAATAAAGTCCTTTCTTTCAGGCCTTTCTACTGAATGTCTCCAATACAGGGGTTTCAAAAGTACAGCCTGGGCCATACTCTGAGAGCTGGCTTATCAGACTTGACACCACCATCAGTAGGGAACTCTCCATTGTGGTCTCACTAGGCAATACTTCTGCTTTCTGTGAGTAGAATTTGACTGCAAATGAGCCACATAGGATCCTGCTCTGGCAGCAGGAAGCAGACCACCCCCACCCTGGTGCCGACAGCACTTAACAGAACAGGAGTTCATGTGTATATCAAATTAATACTCAAGTTGCAACAATGAATGAGAACCAATAAGCTGACCAGGCTAGTGGCACTACATCGGAGGGATGACAATTGTAGCACTGGATCTATTCTTCAGTAGAACAGTTCATATTACTCCACCTTTGTCCCCAGGTTTCACTGGGGGACAAAACATAAACCATTTGTTTACTTTCAGTGCAAATGTATAATGGATAATATATTTGTTGGATGTTATAAGAGTACATACTTGCTCCTCACCCCAAGTCATTAAATGTGGGAATTGATGAAGAAAAGTAATTTAAAATTGATGTAGGATTAGGGCTGCCAGATTTTGGAGCTGATTCCCAAAAACGATAGAAAGAAAGAAAGAAAGAGAGAGAGAGAGAGAGAGAGAGAGAAAGAGAGAGAGAGAGAGAGAGAGAGAGAAAGAGAGAGAGAGAGAGAAAGAAAGAAAGAAAGAAAGAAAGAAAGAAAGAAAGAAAGAAAGAAAGAAAGAGAAAAAGGAAGAAAAATGGATGTAGAAGACTTAGGAGATGCTCAAATGAGCTTAGTCTGGTGATGAAATCTGTCAAATGGGACCAACAACAATGCTTTTTGAGTTGCCCAAGAGTTCAGCCAACCTCTTCATATGTGGGAGATCTTTTTTATTAGTTAATATATTAGTCAGAGTCAGACAGCCAGGACTGAAATGCACCACTATGCTAAAGTTTGAGAACAGTCTGTGGTGACTTCTGCAGGTGGATAGCCTACAAGTGGTCAGTGGGAATGAACACTGAGGGTCCTTCCAGAAGCCTGTGGGCAGTCACAACCCAACACTATCCGAATGGATTCCTAGAAACCACAAGGTCTTTGTCATCTGGCACAGGGGCTGATTTTCCTGTTTCCTGTGGCTATGCTTTCAGTAGCAGGGGTTGGTGGTATTTATCACCTCCCTGCTACATGTGGTTCCTAAGTGAGCTAGGGAGGAATGCCTCTTCTGTTGATGTTCTGCCTTTCCCCAGCTTGAGGGAAGGGAGCAGTGCCCCATCTTTGGTCTCTCAACACTGTAGATTATCTTGCTCATTATTCATGAGGTGACCTGTGTTTCTTACTTGCTGAGTCTGGTGAAATCACATCCCATTTTTGGGTATGAGTACACCTAGCTCAGAGGTCAGAAGACTGAGTACTACATCATCATTGTGAATAACCACACATTGAACCTTGGAGATGCCACAGAGCGCAGATTCCCTTTGGACTGTGGTTGTGTGTCCACCAAAATATAAAAACATAAAATTATAAGAAAAAGAGACAGAGAAAAAGAGATGTTGTATTGATTGAATGATGCTAGGTTCCATAAACAGGGGAATGAGGA